TATTATGGTGAATGACTAGCTTGAGAAACGAGGGACATAGTCCCCCTACAAGCATATCAGAGTTAAGGTTTAAGAGATTTAAAACTTTAAAATAAGTGTATCATTGTTAGGACATTAAGATAATTAACTTAAGAATCTAAGCTAATAGCCATATGTAGGATTATATGAAAACCCAACACAATTTATGGAATTAAAGGGGGGAATAGGGATGCACAGGGAAATCCAATCAAAACATATTGCATGATCAGGGTTATCTTTACTCCTCAATGAAATGCTTTAGCCATTCTCTTCATTGAGCAATTTAACAGTAGAGAAATGAATGTATACGTAATAACCAACATTGAAGCAAGTAAAATCAGGGAAGATGAACCAAGGCCCCTTCCACACAGCTGAATAAAATCCCACATTATCTGCTTTGAAATGGAATATATAGCAGTGTGGACTCAGATAACCCAGCTCAAAGCAGATATTGTAGGATTTTTTACCTTGATATTCTGGGTTACATGGCTGTGTGGATGGGCCATAAGTGATTTGCATTTACTGCTTCCCTCCTCATCACAGATGCTTGTGGGCATAATTTTAAAAATGACATTTCCATTATACAAACATCCAATGCAATCATCCTAACCAAGCTGTGGCTATGACTCTGTGATTCCAAGAGTATTATGAACTGGTGTCTTTCTTATACATATATTTTCTATCTATTGTTTTTATATTATGATCCTGGGATACAGGCAATCAACAGTTAAAGTTAGTCTTCACTTTAAACATCAATTTCAGTTTAAAAACATCCCACCCCCTGGTACAGCAACTCGGGAGCAAACAGGTTATTCCTTTTCCAGAGCAACATATTCTGTTGACAACAAGTCCCTGGCAAATATTGTTCAAAAGACACAGAGTGGATCATTAACCAGAGAACTGAACAGGATACTTCTTGGAAAACACTTCCTCTGTACTGCACAACCACAACAAATGCTTCAACGTGTGTTTGCTTTCCTACAGGATCAACCTTAAAGGACTTACGGGCACAGCCGGCAAAATAAGCAGCATAAGCCAGCCAGGAAATGGTTTTAGCACAAAGGATGCAGACAATGACAAATGTATCTGCAAATGTTCACAAATGCTAACAGGAGGTAAGAGTTGCGTTTTCTACTCTTCCTATTTTCACACCTTTCCTATTTCTATTGGCACCTCATCAATCTGTAATGCAAACAGCGAGTGGATGTTGAAAGCAAGTTTAAATAGAAAAGCTACTTCCATTTTTCACATTTTGCAGTTTGGAATAAGTGGTTTGTTAAATCAGATGTGTGATGATTCACAGCACTAGAATGACAACTTCAGACATTAGCACTGCCAGAATGATCCCTTCCATATTTAGCTCTAATCAGAGAAGATGTGAAAAAAGGTGGGAGAAGAAAGTCCAGTAATGAATACATCCCCTCCTTTTGCCCCATGCCTGATGCAAACCTAGCACGAGAACATTAAGGGAAGAGATTTGAGAACCAAGAACCAAAAAACAGGGCTCAAAAGGATTTCAAGATGCTATCTTTTTTAAAAAAAATTTTTTTATTGGTTTGTGGTGCATACAGAAAATAAAACCGACACCAAAGGAAAACCGAAATAAGTAAAAAGTAAAAAAGAAAGAGAGAAAAAAACAGAAAAAAAGGAAAAAAAGATATACAAAAGAGTATGCAAATTTGCAGAATGGTATACAGTCAGCGCTCATTAAACATATAAAAAATCAAATTTGACTTTACAGTTATAATACATTAACATTTAATGTCCCTCTAACCCCACACCCGTGAACCCAACCCCTGTGACCTCCGACACCACTCCGTATGGATCACATAACTAACCCGCAACTACCCACGTATCTTCTTTCACTGAATCCCCTTTATGGCAATCTTCAAATCTACTTTTGTCTTCTTTTCAAGATATCCAATTGCCAACTGTCATTTTTTAACAAATTCTTCATTATTTCCACCTCTGCTGCTATTTGTCAGTTTGGCCATTTGGATATAGTCTACTAATTTATCTCTCCAATCCTTAATATTTAACTCTTTTCCCCTTCCACGATTTAGCTATTATTAGTCTCGCAGCAACAAAACAATACTGACAAATTTCTTCATCTCCTGTGCTAATACGCCTCCTAAATATTCCTAATAAGCACATTTCTGGGTTTTTCTTGATTTTTTTGCTGATCATTTTGTTTGTTTCTTTCATCACTTTTTTCCAGAATTCTTTAACTATGTTACAGGTCCACCATACGTGGAAAAAAGATCCCTTCACCTTCTTGCATCTCCAGCAAGCCCCTTGTCCTGTTTTCTCTATTTTAGCTAGTACCTCTGGGGTTATATAGGTTCTGTAAAACATTTTAAACATATTTTCTCTAATTGAGCTGGCCACTGAGAATCTAAAGCCCTTATTCCAAAGACATTCCCACTCTTCCAGATCGATATTTCTGCCAACATCTTGGGCCCACGTGATCATAACGGATTTTATTTGGTTGTCTACTAAATTATATTCTAAAATGTATTTGTAAAGTCTGGATATTAGGCCTTTGTTGCCCTTCTCGAAAATACTTTCTAACTCCGATTTATTAGAGGCAAATCCTACTTTTGCATCCTTCCTAAATCTGTCGTGTAGCTGGAAAAAACTGAACCAATCTTTTAACCCAGATTCTTCTCTGCTTTTAAGTATCCATTGTCCTTTCTCATTGACCAAATAATCCTTGTATGTGCCGGAGTCAGCATGTGTGGCCGGTCTCTGGACTGCTTCCAATGGGCACAGCCATAGGGGTTTTTTGGCTATCTAAGCATTTTGGGGAACAAAGCTTAAATCTTATTTCAAAGCGAATTTTCCCATTGATATGCTATTCATTCGTACCCCTCCCAAATCACCCCCCCCATTTTTGTTATGTGGTTTTAAATAAGAAAATTCACTTTATAAATAACAAATAATGTATAAATGCACATTCACATGGAACAATAAAAAAGAAAGATTAACTTTAAAATGGTAGGAGCACAAAGTTGTGGCACAATGATAGAAGCACAAAGCAAAGAGGCAGAAGCATCATTTTCTTCATACCGTATTCATTCCAACCTCCCTCCCTCTCTTGCTCCCCCTCCCTCCCTCTCTTCATAAAGCCAAACGTACCAGGAATAAAAAACACACATAGTCAACAACCTAAAGTTCCTCAAAGTGGACAAGAGCAAAGTGGACAGCAACCTCCCCAAAGTAGACAAGAGCACAAGGCACGGAGGCTGCTCCCTTGAAGCCATAAAAACCTGGACTCTCGTGCTAGCACTCCTTTTCATGCTAGCTCTTAACTCAAAAATCTGAAATGTCTTTTAAATTTTACTTTTAAAATTTTGTTTTATGCACTTGTTGCTTTATCCTTTTAAATATATATCACCATACAAGCATAAGTTGCTTCATAGAGCATCAGATGGGGACATTAGTGACATTAGCCCCATGTATGGAATCATTCCATCCAGAATCTGTAGACTAAACTGGAATTACGACATTTCATGTGCAAATAATTAGAAGGACCAGTACAGCAGGATAGCAATAAAGACATCAATAATTCCATGGTAATGCTGTAGGAGATGACATACTGGCTGGGCAATTTTGGGAGCTGTTGTAGTTCAACATTTCCAAAATGCCTTAAGAGAAAACACGTGTTTTTTGTTCACCCTATGAACAGCTATTGTTAGGAAGATGATGAATTGACAGCCTACACTGAGGCAATTATGACACATATGAAATATGCTGTGCACAAGTAAATATCCCTTTTTTCAGAATTCTTTTTAAAACATTATTTTTTTTAACAGGATGGTGGTTTGATGCATGTGGTCCATCCAATCTGAATGGCGTGTACTTTCCAATGCGACAGAACACAAACAGATTTAAAGGAATTAAGTGGTACTACTGGAAAGGAGCAGGCTACTCTCTCAAGGCCACAGTTATGATGATCCGACCAGCAGATTTCTAAAAAGAAATTGCACTTTGTACAACACACTTAGTGAAATAAATCCAAAATACTTCCACCTGGCAAGTATTTAAACTGCAAATAGCCAGAGACTGCTCATCCTGCCTAGACAAAACGCATAAGTACACTGCAGGAATTGACTTCTGTCCTGAATGAAAAGCCACAGAAGTTCAGAAGCTAGACATATACGACGGAATAATGATTTGGCAAAAAGGAGATAGATGGATACTTTTCAAGTTTAAGGACCACATGTCTTGAAAATTTATAGCATATGTGCAAAACTGGAACTATGAAGCACATATTCAAATATGTCAAATAAAATTACTAAGCTTAAGAAGTATGATTTTATGCTTTCTCGCCAAACTCTAAAATGAAGACACTCCATTGTAAACTCTAGTCTACTCCTTTCTCTTGTCATAGTTGTAAGTATGTAGATAATGTGATGTTTTGTAATTAACACCAGTATTCAGATTATTATTATTAGTAATCACACATTCAGGGATATTTGATAGCACAGGCTAGTATATTTAATAAGCTTTTGTTTTATATATCTTCTTTAAAAGTCCAGTATTGTGTATAATAGATCGCATTTTTATCTCTTAAAATATCCTGGTTTTGTATCTATATTTTATGATGAAATCCCTACAACTGATAAAGAGTTTTAACATGTGATGGCAATAGAATTTGTTAAAAAAAGAAAAGAAATTGCACTTATTTCTTTCTCAATTTGTTTATGCTAAAATAATACCGGGTAATTACAATTCTTCAATGTTTTGAATGCATTTTAAAAAAAAAACCACAGAGCTTTCTCTAGCAGAAAATTAGCTACTGATTACAAGCTTAAAGTCTGCATTTTCCTTTACCAATGAGCATTAATTCAGGAAGGGAAGAAAATAGCTATCAACATTTGATCCGCTGTATTTTAAACAAATCATTATCCTTACTCCATGTTCTGCATGATAAATGTGACTTTTCCCGAGGAGCTTAAAAATAAGTTTTTATTACTTACAGGAGCTGCAGGGAAATCTACTGAGAGCTCATACGGTTCTTCAGAAATCCAGTAACCATATTCCAGAGACCACAGCACCTATAAAGTAAAGGGGCAAAAGCCAATAGTGGTTCAAAGGCAGTGCAGCAGGGCTTATTGATTATAAAAAAATAGATAAGAAGCTGAGTAGCTTACTACCATGCCCTCTCTGGAATTGTAAGATTACGTACATGAAATGGCAATGAAAACATTATACAACATATATTTTTGTTGGCTTTAATATTTCTTAGAGGTGAAAAACTCAGCTGAACAATGTCTAGGCAGTGTGATTTATATCTAAGGAATGAACAAAGATTTCCATGTTGGTTTCTGGATGCCGTTTCAGGTATGACATACCATAACTTAAAACAAAAATAGATCAAACAAATAGCCCAAAGTTTTCTGGAAGTACCCCTGTTTTCAGAAAATTGCTACGTGGCAATCAGGTTATTTTTTTCAAGACCACAACACATATATAATTTGGAGAGTGAAAAAAGGTTCCATGTCCAAAGGGCCACACAGAAGTCCTAACACGTTACAAAAGTTTATCTTGGAAGACTTTATGAGGCACTCTGAAAATCTGAAGAAAGAATTATGCTTATGTTATTGAAGCAAGTTCACAGTGGTACATTGCAGCTGCATTCATTCAGGAAATGAATGAATGTACCTTGTGCCCATTTAGGATGAAATACAAGTGAGATTCTGATTTCCCATTGTAGCCTCTTGAACCTATGCAAACACTACCAGCTTAGGTGGGATTGGGCAAAATTCCAGTTGGTTTAAGGTGCTGAAGAAGCCAACAGCTACAGAAAAGATGCAAACCAGAAAGCCTGCTCTGCAGGACATGAAGTGCCACCCGCTTGCCTCTGAAGTCTAAAATGAAATAACCTTAGGATATGTTACTCCAGAGAAAAAATGTACTTCAAATGCAATACAGAATTGTGATTACATATGTTTCAGTATCATTTTTTTTGCATCAGTTATTGTAGCAATTTGCAGGGCTGATCCAAGATGCTTCTCTATCTGAAGCAAAGGACAAGATGTTGTTTCCCAGATCAATATAAAGATGCAATTGCAGACAGTCCCCAAGTTGCACACAAAATGGGTTCTGGGTTTGTTCTTAAAAGTTAAATTTATATATAAGCCGGAACTGTACATTTTTAAGCATTAACCCCAGCTACACACACACACACACACCTTTGGATAGCATATTTATTTATCATGTCAGAAGCAAATCGAGAACACAGTTATAATGTATAAAAAACCACAAAGCTAAAAACGTGGCATTAATGCTAAATTTCCTTTGACCAGAAGCTGGCCACTTCAAGTACCTCTGGTGTTGCTGTAAGATGGTCCTCCATTGTGCATGTGGCAGGGCTCAGACTGCATTGTAGTAAGTGGTCTGTGGTTTGCTCTTCTCCACACTTGCATGTCATAGACTCGTGGATAGCATAGGGAAGGGTTACACCCCTGTGGTGTTTGTTTTGCTGTCTGTGCCCCAGTTGAGAAGATTTCACCTCACTTTCTGTTCCTGTGATCACTGGATTTTGAAAAAAAAATGGCTTGTGGTGGAAACAGGTATTGGTGAGAAAGCTTCAGTGATAACTTTCCCCCCTGGTAACTTTTTCAGTAATGAATTTCCCTTCTGAAGGGTAGATTTCTTTCATTTCCTGTTGTCTCACCCCCGTCCTGAACTATGAGTCATTTGTAAGTTGGATGTTTGTAACTCGGGGCTGCCTATATTTAAATTTTACTTCATTGTGGGTGGTATGATAGTGTTTTTGACTGATCTTGAGGAGAACAAGCTAGCTGCAGGTGGGAAAGAAGCTTTGTGACAAATCCAGCTGTCCTCTATCAGATAAGGCTCAGGAGGAATCCAGGCTTCCTTGCAGAAACAGTATCATGGCCATATAGCCCAAAAAAACCTACAACAACCCAGAAACAGTACTTCTTTCTCAGCTGTAAGGCCTCAGTAATGACCGTATCTGTGACTGTAGTATTCTGCTTTCAGTGTTATGCAAATGTTGGTATGTGTGAAATGAATGGAAAAGCAATAAAAATTAGAACTATTCATTGTTACATCAGCCACTGGTCAGCAGCTGGGATGTTTATAACAATGATTTAACAGGTCCGTTCCGGGAAGGACCCATTACAAAAGGGATTGTAACAAAAGATCAAAACAATAGCAGCTTAAAACTGTTCAATGACTTTTTCCACAGGAACAATATGATATCCTCTACAGTATTCTGCTTAAATGTGTCATTTCCTCCAATGCACCTACTTATTTTTCACCAATAAAATGCTTTACACTGTTATTGCCTGGTTAACTGCTGTAAAGTGGACTTTCACTTATGGCAATCCCATGAATAAGAGACCTCCATTTGCCCTGATCCTCAACAACCTTGAACAGGTCTTGCAGATTCAGCGTTGTTGCTCCCCTGATTGGGTCCATCCATCTGGAAGGCGGTCTTCCTCTTTCCTACTATGTTCAACCATAATGGATACTATTGTCTTTTTTTTTAGTGAATCATGATATGGCCGAAGTGTGACAATCTCTTGGTTTCTAGGGAGAGTTCACATTAGATTCGTTCAAGGACTCGTGTATTTGTCTTTTAAGCAGTCCATGGTAACCATAAAATTCTTCTCCAGCACTAAAGGAAAAGGAGGAATTGAATCCATGGAGGTAAGTTTTTTTTTCTCATGTCAAGAGCGATTTGAGAAACTGCAGGTCGCTTCTGGTGTGAGAGAACTGGGCGTTGCCCAGGGGACGCCCAGATGTTTTGATGTTTCTACCATCCTTGTGGGAGGCTTCTCTCATGTCCCCTCATGAGGAGTTGGAGCTGATAGAGGGAGCTCATCCGCGCTCTCCCCGGATTCGAACCTGTGACCTGTCGGTCTTCAATCCTGCCGGCACAAGGGTTTAACCCACTGCGCCACCGGGGGCACCACATGGGGGTAAGTGATGTTGCAGGAGTGTGCCGGGCCAGTTTCACCTCCTCTTCTTATTTGCCATGTGCTCCTGTTCTTCCTTCCCCATTTGGCCATATCTCCCAAAATAACGTGTTTGATGTCGGTCATCATGCAGTGAAACTCTGGGGGAAGCAGAAAGGTGTAGTTTGCTGTTTGGATGCAGGCACCAACATGATGTAAGCTCATCCTACACTCAGGTTTTTGAAAAGTACTGCAGGCAGTCCCTGAATTACAAACATCTGACTTACAAATGTTTCATAGTTACAATTGAGGGTAAGAGAACAGGAAGAGAGAGAAATCTATCCCTAAGAAGGAAAATTTACCCAAGAGATAATGGGGAAAGGGTGTCTCCAGTGAAGCTTTATCACCAATCTTTGTTTCCACCACAAGACACATTTTTTAAAATCCAACAATCACAGGGACAGAAAGTGTGGTGAAATCTTCTGAACAGGAGCACAGGCAGCCAAACAAACACCAATGAGGTTGTTAATCTTTTCCTATGCTATACAAAAATAGATAGATAGACAGACAGATATTTGGCTGGAGTTACACTTAAAACTGTACCTGTTTCGATTTACAAACAAATTCAACTTAAGATCATACCTACAGAACCTATCTTGTTTGTAACTTGGAGACTGCCTGGAATTAAAACCTGATTATTAAAATAAATACTTTCCTGCCTAAAAATAAACATAGCAGGATTGTCTCTCGATTGCTAAACATTCTAAGTGGTCTGTCCATTTTAACTAATTTTTGTGGAGTTATCATGTGCCTTCCAGTCAACCTTGACTTATGATAACCTTTCTTTAAGGTTCTCTTGGCAGGGTTTATTCAAAGAAGGTAGTGCCATTGCTTTCCTCTAAGGCCAAGCATATGTGGATCTCCTTGTGGTCATCCCATGAGTTTCCAGGGCTTACAAGAGATTTAAACCTAACTCTCCCAGAGTTTTAGTCATATACTCAAACCCCTATACCACACTAGCTCTCTAAATCCACCCACTGTAAATTTATCCCTCTTTTATTTTTCTTCACCATTGTCCTGTTGTCTCATTCTGTACATCATGCCTTTTCCATGTTTTTTAAATGTTCTAAGATCATTTACAGAAAAGCCACCATTTGAAGAACTGCATCCTAATAAGGCTATACCCATATTAGCTGCACTTGTAGTCCTGTTTGACCACAATTGGCTTATTCTATAGAATATGAATAATTGTGAACAATTCATATAGCATTGAAGTCCTCATGTTTCTGCAGCAGCACTGATTCTTAGAAATCTCTGGATAGGGAGATTTCAGTGTCTTCTAATTTTATTTCTCTTCATTACATTTTTTGTAGTAGCAATGGAAGTAGAGGAGATATACACACACGTATTGGAAAAAATTATTTTTACACTTGGCTTGGGTGCATATTATACTGCAACAGGCTAACATAGTGAGTTTAGAACCTTAAAGAATAAAACATATGGACTCATTGTGTGTTCATGTGTATCCAAGGCCATCCAATTCATCTGGACCAAGATGTTTACGGCAAAAATAAAATTAAAAAAAAATCTAGCACTTTATATGGGTCCCCTTGGGGAGAGAGAACGAAATATAAATAAAGTTATTATTATTATTATTATTATTATTATTATTATCTAATAAAATCACAAATAATAATTCAATTTACTTTCTGGAAAATCTGATCCTAGGTCCAAAGTATCCTAAAGGTATATACTGTGTCTGAAATTGGAAGCTAAGTTCAGTCCTGGTTAGTACTTGGATGGGGGATCATTAATGAATATCTGGCGCTATGGGCTACATTTCAGGGGAAGGAACTGACAAAACCACATCTAAATATTCCTTGCCTAAGAAAACCTTATAAAATTCACATGGTCGTTATGAGTCAGTTGGTGACATTAAGGTATACACACCCACAAATCAGCTCCAGAATGCAGGGGGAGATTTCAATATTTATTTATTTATTTACTGCATTTGTTGACCGCCGTTCTCAGCCCTAGGGCGACTCACGGCGGTGTACAACATATAAAAACAGTTTACAATAAGGGAATATCACAACAAAATCAACATAACTATCAATAATACAGTTACA